TCGCCAGGACATGGCTGAATACTAATTTATGAAAACTAAGATAAGTACAAGATATCTCATACTGGTGAATTAACTTCAGGTTGGGAAGCACCTGTTGGTTTTAAACTTACCGCGCTAGCGACTTTGACCCAGCCCGTTTTTAGTTTTCGGTATTGATTTTTGAACCCCAGACGAAAATAGGAAGCGTCTCCAAGACGTTTTCCGTTACTTCAACATCGAACTATGACTATTTACTTCGAGCTATCCAATTTCGTCACTATCTGGTAGTCTAATTGTTTCCGATTTTCTTAGTTCTCAAACTGGTCGCACACCACATATCTGCGCTGCTTTGTGGTTGTAACCAAATCTCTTCTCGGTGAATAGTGGTTAAGGATTTTGACAATTTTGCTCGAAAATATGCGAAAATTGTTATCCACTTCGCATTTGGTGTCTTGCTGTCCGATGAACACTCGAGGCAGATGAGATGGTATTAATGCTCCCTAATATTTCGTTCGTTACCGATTTTTTCAAAGCACACGTAGATAGTGGCAAAGTCTTCACGAAATACACTCGAAACCCTAATTTGCCGCAAAGAATCTCACTGTGCTAGTCGATACAAAAATACTTTAGTTAAAAAAACTTTTTCGACGTTGCAGTTAGTTGAGATTTCTTTGTTCTTCGCTGTTGTTGTAGTTGTGTTCTCAACGGTTCAAGTCAAAATAAAAAATCAGAATTATTCGGTAGAAATCTAACGGAATTAAAAAATAGTAAGAACAAGTCGAGTTTTCAAGTGAGGCTATGCGCATGAGAGCATCAAAAAAATGGAGCTTGCACCGAAGTGCATGCACGAAAAAAATCCTTACCCTAATATGGAAATGCTTTATGTTCAATTGGTGGCTAATTCATTTTCCGTCGAATTTCATCGATGTGCACAAGTTTTTGGCTATTCACAACGTCTCTCTTTCGAAGGAACTGAGTAACGCATTTGTTTTCATAGTTTGCTAAGAGCACTTTTCTTTGTGACTCTTCAGCGAGGGAGATAATGAGTGAAACCCGTAAGCAATGCGCCGCCAGTTCTGTTCGGATGGCGTGATCAACTGATGGCGGCGCTACTTGTGGATCGTGACTGCTCGCACACCAGGCTGGGTTCGAGCAACTGAGGCCTGTGCACCGACACATTTAGCCGTGGCGGTGCTTACCACGAAGTACAGCAGAGCACACCGCCGAGAGCATTGGGGTGACCCAAAAGGGTCAGCAATACAGAAGCAGAAACAGTAGTAAACTACGATGAACAATGAAGGATCTCCTACACTTAGTAATGGAAAAATAACAAATACGGGCAAAATTTTCCTTTCCTGCGCAATGTTCTATAGTGTTTCAATCCATATGCGTTATGAGTCATGAGTCGTCAACCATATGTCACTCTAATCAGTGGTTCTTCCACAGCCGAAGTCCCTTAAAGGAAACGGCTCTGAAGAAGGCGATACTGCTAAAACGTCAGCTACCCTTGTATTGTGTGTTTTTGGACGGAAGTAAATGTGTCACTTCGCGATTACTGAACAATAAAACGACGCATTTATAATCCAATTCCGAGGTTAATGGAAAGTAGATCTTAGGAACTGCTTTACTTAGAACTTCTATCAGATCTTCTAGGCCAGTTTCCGTTACTAGCTAAGAAGGAAACGCTTTGGACGGTCATAGCCTTCAGAAAAAAGCAATAGTCAGGTAGAAAATAAACAAAAAGCTCGAATGAGTCTGGTGATTTGCAAAACAACTTCGACAATGACAGCCAGTTTTATTATGATAATAAACAAGAACAGTATCGGCTCCAAATATATACTACTTAAATTACTAATGTCAAGTGAAAAGAGAATGCTGGCGAACACAAGGAAAAACGGCGAGGAAGAAAGGTAAATCTAAGACAAACCAGAGCTAGTCGATTTTACTGACCGTAGAAATAATCTCAACAATTAGTCAATTTAGTAACCTTCAATAAATCACGTCCAATTCAGAAAAAATTGCTGTGAAACTACATTCAAAGTGTATTTCGGGTGAAAGAAATGCATTGGAAATTCAATTTAAGGCATGTCGTTTTCAATGAGTGGAGTTGAAGACGTCCGGTGTTACAGTTATTCTGTTAAATAGTAATTCAGCCCACTTTTCTTCAAGATGGGCATAGTGTGCTTTAAAAAAGACTAGACACACACAAAATGGAATATTGATTGGATGCCATATGCCTAAATCGCGTTGAAGTTTCCCGCCGCCAGCGAATTGATTAGTAGGCGAGTTCTGATCCGTCGCTGCTTGACGCGTTTAGTTTTCATTTCACAGGTCCAGATAACGCCAACGGTAGTTTTTGGAGTGTTGTTCCCTCTCAGCCATTGAGCATACTTACGTTCTAATTTTACTGTACATTCAACTATTTAGAGGTTGTACAACAGTGTTTCTGTGTGGTTCATCACCTGTTTCTCATACTTGTCGTGAATTTTCTAGAACTATCTACAGGAGAACAGGATACTACATATTTTAGGCTAAACACTTTTGTAATGAATTCAAAAATAGCGTCATCTCGTTGACTTAGGATAGCCAATTTCTCAAGAGCGTTTTTTGGAGGAATTCGATTTATCCCGAATCGTTTTTCCACCAGCCTTCATAATACCTCAAATGTTACTTCCATACAATTCACTCGCAACAAATCCTGATGTTTTGCCACATTCTCTATATGCGAAAAAAATTATCTTTCTCATGATATGATGAGCATTACTCTATTCTCGCAAGAAAAATTCAGCAACCCATATTGAAGCCGATGATGCCGAAACCATGAACTAATTGACCGCGTTCAGTGCTCTCTGATGATTTGCTTTTCAGATCCTTTCGAGGGTGTGACTAACTTCTCTATTATCCCAAGCACATCTTTCGTATAGATAAGTTCATGAAACAGATCTTGCATAGCAATATTTTGGCACAGAGCCCAGTAAGCGACAGAGTGTTTGCATCACCCACAGTGGACGAGTTGACCGCGCGCACCTATGTCCACTTACAACATATTTTACCTGTCTTGAAAAGATTCTAGAGCTGACGTACATGGCAAAGTCGAAATGTGGTCGATAGTACTTATCAATTTCACCTGAATGATACGTGGTTCCTGGATCTGCCGCATGGAGTAGTTTGTTGTAGCTTCTGATCTTTTAAGCCGGAACTATATTGTCACTACTTTCTCGACGAATAAAATATAGACAGTAATTACAGTACGCGTCGAGAAAAAAAACCAATGCAAAAGATGCGAATCCTTGTTATTCACGAAAATCAATTCAACGTCTTTAAGGACACTCTTAATAGGAATGCTTTTCTTTTTCTTCTGCAGGCTCGTACATCGCAATGATTAGAGGTGCTCTGCAATACATATGGGTTTGATCGCACGACCCATAATCACTAAGCTTTCCATCTGCCCAGGGTCGGAAAACCGGCAACAGACGTGTGTGGGAGGATAGCAGCACTGACTCGATGCATTACTGAGCTAATGTGATTCATTGTAAAGGCTAGATATGCATTCAATTACCTCTGAAAATGTTTGGTGAAATCGAATGCATGGCGCATCCGTCAGGGATTGATCGGCGTCGAGAGCTTTATCCTTCACCTTTTTTCTCTGTTTTTCCGTCATAACCTACATGGATGTTTGGATTGGCTGGCTCCATGTACTGCATGAATGCGACATACTCTTCACTCATTTCATTCGTTAGTGAGTGCCGTTTGAATTTGTGGTCCGTTTCGCTCATCGTCACCTCAACTAGTATCGCCTCATAGTGCGTAAATGTTTTCCATTCACGAAAACAGATGACTGCCATGATTGACTTTGGTTGCAAACTGGTTGTCTTGTCAAGTTTTCACCGTGTGTCTTAAAGCAAGGTGTATGAAATAAAACCAAATGTGTGTTGAAACGTGAGCAAAACTCGGAACCTCAGGTGCGCATGGTGGTCCCGATCACCGCTTGCGAAGGGGAGGCACATATCTTATCTACTGGAACAACAGTGGCTATTACTTTGTCTTTATCCTATTGCTTTGTCAGCGATCTATTACCATAGAGAAACTCCGAACCTTCCTCGGTTGTAAAAGGTTGAGCACAATGTCCTTCTCACACGCATTTTCTTTGCAGGCTAAGATATTTTTTCTTCATATCCCAAGAGGTACGAGCTCGATCTTTGCCAGTTTAGCACACAGTGAATAGCTATTAGGTTCGGAGTGCGGTTTACCATCCCATTATAATGTTTATTCTAAGGTACCTGCGATGTTCAAAGTTGGTTTATTCATAGATGACTTTCGTAGAGAAACGTCCTGTGGAATTGTACAACTCCATTCCAGCTCGGCCACCACTGCTAAAGGATGAGCTCCTTCTTGCACAAGACAGTCTGTCACCGAGTACTTCATCCTCCTCTCAAAGATGATTTGCAGAAGTTTTGATTATACTGTTGGTATCAAAAAATCGCGAAACCAGGCGTCGAGCTTCGATCCACCTCATAAGATTTGCGGGTTTTGTCGTCTGTTAAATGATGCCGCTAACTGATCTGCTTGCAAAACCCTCTTTCTCTTCTCAGAACTAGTTCTTCTTTTCGATGAAGTGCCAGATTACTAATTGTTGTCGTCCGGATGGCAGTGGCGGCTGTTTAGACGAATCGTACAGGTTGTTTGTTCTACTGCAGTGCGCCGTTTTCCTTTTCACATCATTCGATAAACGTATAAATAGTGTTTGTATTCTAGTACTACGTATTAAAGTATTTAAGTGTTCATACTCGTTGAGTGTTTTTCAAATCATCTTTTTCCTATTGAATGTCTTAATTTCATACCGTAAAATTCTTCGTCACTTTTGACTAGAACGCTTAACGTTCATCGGTTGCTTTTGTGTTGCGTATGATCAATATGCTTTTTTTCAACCACCTCTAAAGCAGCAATGTGCTACTACTGCGTGATTTAGTGGAGTCTTTGATGACTCGATGAAGGAACGACAGGGTATATTTTCAGTGCAAATGAGAAATACCTTGCAGACGAAAGCATTTGGTGTTTCTCAAGAATTCGAGAGGTACTTTCGGTGTTTTTTTAAGTTAAGACTAGGAATACGGTAACTAAGATTTAGGCTTTGGAAATATGGTATTATTGCAGAAGGGCTTGTTTTACCGCTCTGGAAGTGTCTGGGGGGATTCATGCTACTCTTTTGCTTTACTTACCAAAGTTTTAGAACACAAGCACTGCGCGGCAGCGCTGAACTCAACTAGATTCTCAAAAGAATATCATGCGAAGTTTAGCACCTCCAAAAGCTCTCATTGATAGCGCACTGAGAATTCGCTTTTGCAGTGAGAGTCAAAACACCGTATGTTTGATATCACCTGTGAGTAACATGATACAGTTTATTAGGTATTGTTAAAATCCGCTAGACAACGCATTGGTGTCGGCATTTCGAAATTCTTTTTTTATGATTCACTCCAGTGATTCAAAATAAAATAACAGTAGCTGTTTTCCAATGCTCGATCGTGTTCTTTCCAAGAATCCATTGTGAGACCTCTCGAATGCACCATGACCGAACTCCATCTCCACGTATGGTTATTGTGCAATTATATCACGAAAAGACACCATTTTTGAAGAACTAGTGTAGAATTAGCAAATGTAGCAAGCACGAATTTTTTAAAGTGCTCCTGTCATTATGAGATCGTTTGACCATATTTCGCTAAAATTTCAAATCTTTAGCAAGCATTTTGCTAACGGTTCGGTTTGATAGTGCGATAGCATGACATAGTTTAAAATAGATGTGGCTTAGATTAGATATCGCCGTAGACCTAGTTTATGAACACTGCTGTTGAATCTGGCTTTAAACATGCCTTACTATCACGTATGGGATCGTCGTAGTGACCGAGTAGTTCACTCGAAAGGCATACGAAGTAGATTGTACGTATTTCCAAGCAACACGTGCTAAATGCAGAGGTAGTGTTTCAATAGTCCCCGTTCAAATTTAGAAAGGGGAAGCGCACAAATTATGATGGGGTGAAAAAGAAAGGGCGGATTCAATTGCTCTTCACTAAGGGTGCCAAATGATGCGTACAATCTTTTCCTTCTTTCAAACAATTACTCTTTCATTTTGTTTTAGTTGGTAATATAAGGTCCTAAGAGACGTAAATGTGGTCTTTAAACAAATATCAGTTTATTTTTATCTTTTGCTCGCCTATCTTTGTTTAGCGATTTTTTCCAATTATTCAGGTTCACTGCGTCTGCTGCCAGACAGGCAGCGCCGTACAACGAATCTGCAGGACGATTCTCTCACCAAATTTGCGAGAGATCAATTTCACAGTGAGAGAGCGCTGCGAATCTTATCTATTGAGAAGGAATAAGATTCCCAAACACAATCATATGTCGATACCTGGCGAAGAACATCTTCGACGGCACTGAAGCAGAACCAGCCGAACAGTCGACATTCAGGATTGGCGTTTCCGAAACGAAGTGCTGCAGTTGTGATTGCAAATAATCAAAAGGACAGAATTGCGATTGCAACGATGTGTTTCCACAAGCGTTAACAGTTCACATAGTGGCTTTGATTTAGCAGTGTTTGGAGATGTAAGCAGTACGCTAATTGATTCATCCGCTGATCTTCTCAATCACAAAGACCTTGAGTCGCGGTTGTGGAGAGTTAGACGTCAGCAATGAAAAGAAAATTTTTCTTCGCTTTAGGACTCATTTTCTCATTCAAGTATCTCACAAGATATTCCTGCTAAAAATATTGGCAATGGTGATCACGATGAACTGCTCTATCGGCCTGGGATGATCGACCCATGCACCAAGGACAAATTTATTAAACTTGAACGAAGTTTCCTAATGTTCGTTGTGACGGAATCGATGATGATGGGAACTGAAAAACACTCGGGAGTGAGCGAACTCACTCGGGAGCTCTCACTTCATTGCATCCTTGTAGATACAGGTTCGAGGACACACTTAAAGAAATAAACGCCGATGATACGTTACTGTTCGCCGAAGCGAATTTCGTGATAGTCGAGGACAACAATCGATCTTTTCCAGTGATCGATTGCTTCTTTTCTAAGTGCACTACGTGCAGCGATACGCAGTGGATGTATTTCGTATAATGGAGATCAGTCGCATGGATAGAAGAATATTTTCTTCAACACCAGGAAGATTAGCAGAAGATGAGTGGAGGGATGATTGAAAACGGAAGTTCACGACGGGTGAGCGCTGCGAATCTTTTCAATTGAGAAGTAATAAGGTTCTCAAGGACAAAACTGTGTCGATGCTAAGCGAAGAGTACTTCAATCTCTGCTACTGTGAGCAGCATGAAATTTCGCTATGACGTCATAATATGCTGGTGAAAACTTGGGCACTATTAAGGCGAAAACGACCAAACACTGGGCATTCAGGATTGGTGCTTCCGTAACGAGATGCTACAGTTCCGAATCCTAACGATCAAGCGAAGGAGAACTGCGGTTACCATGGAGGTGCTTCCCCAAGTGTAAACAGCAGTTTATATGATGGCTTTGATGGAGCACGGTTAGGAGACATACACAGTACGTTAATTGATTCATCCGCGGATCCTCTTACTCAGAAAGGCCAGAAGCCGCGATTGAGGAGATTTAAACGTCAGCAATGAAAAGGAAAAATTTCTTTAGTCCAGGACTTACTTTCTCATTCAAGACTCTCACAAGATTTATCCGTTAAAAATAATGGCAAAGAGATGGTATCTACAGAGTCCTCTCCCATTGTAATTCTATTAACCGAAGACATGATACCAGTAAGCCACAAAAAAGCTGCTGTTGGAGAAACGATAATGCTAAATTCTGCTTTTCTGCAAACCGACGAAGCTATCCATCGTCATATTTGGTGTAAGGCTGTGCCACCAGCGATGCCAGAAGCCACAATTTCCTCCTGTAACAAGTGAAGGTTCATCAATGTCGTATTCGTCAACTACCGTAATTAATTGTCAATTTATTGACGTCAACGAAACAGCGTTCACCGTGGAAGAAGTACGATATGTTCCATGAGAATACCATTTTCAGTGGATCTCCGGTGAGTTAATATGGTCATTAACTGAATTCCAGTTTATCTTCATTTGTTGTCCACCTATCTTTACTCAACCATTTTTCTAATTATCTTCCCTCATTTGCCTTAAATTTACTATACTTTCTCTGTCTCTGCAATCCATTGACGCTATTTTTAGGGCGACCGATAAATATCTTTCGGACGAAGGCATATGGTGTTTCTCAAGAATGCGAGAGGTACTTTTAGCGTTTTTTTTATGCTGGGAATAGAATTGGGACCACAGTAACTAGGATTTACTCCTGCTGGTCTAATTTCCCAAGTTTAAGGCAAAACTTCTTGCTGAGGCTTCCTGCTCAGTGGTGGGTGATGCTGATCGCCTTGACATGCTGTGTCGCCTTGGAATAATCGACCCGCACACCGAAGACGAATACATGAAAATTGCACGAAGTTCCCGAATGTTCGCTATAATGGGAACGAGAATGACGGAAAACGAAAAACACTGGAGAATGGGCGATGTCGTAATAGATAATGCGCTCACTACACTGCATCGTTGTGGAAACAGGTGCGATGATACGCTGAAGGAAATGAGTGCCAATGGTAAGTTGCTGTTCGCTGACGTGAATTTCATGACGCTGTGGATTTATTTCATATGATAGAGATCAGTAGCTTGGCGAAAGAATGTTTTCTTCTGCACCGGAAAGATTAGCAAGAGGTGAGCGCACCGGTGATGGAGAAGAAGAATCTACCTCTACCATTTCTAGGTAACTGGCTCTTTATCAGTAGTAGTAGCAAATATCTCTAAGTGTATTCCAGTGTTGATGGCGTAAAAACGTTTCATTCTAAAATTAAAAATGTGTACCTCGGTATCCGAATCAGTCTGTCCCGTGTTGTATTATTCTCTCCATAATCACTGACACCTTAAAGCTATTTAAATCCTGCGTATTCCTTCCACCGTGGTAATCTCGCTGTACCTTTATTGTTGTATTCTATGTGACACTTGTTCCTCATCCTCCTTCATCATTCTATGACAAAAGCAAGTTCCCTATTTTCAGCATAACTTCTTACTAATCATTTCATCTTCAGTTGTTGATTCCGTTATTTTTACTCTTCATACTAAATGCATTTCTTTATCTCGTGATATTGTTACTATGTATTAGTATTATTATATAAAAGCTCACTTACTCAACTTTCCGAATAGTCCTGAATAACAAAGTCGAACGAAGAGAAGCATTCCATGTCAAATTAAGTGATTATTTGATGCTGACATCCGACACATCAAAATTTACTCCATTGAGCTAACTAACATTATTTGGTGTATCGGTCTACCCAGCACCTAAATAAATTTAGAGGCCCCTGCAAAGACAACAGTGAATTAGTTTTAGTAAGAACGCAAGTAAAAAGATAGAAAAGAATGGCTCGAAAGTCAGAGTACACAGAACTAGCGAATTCCAACACTTCGGATCTTATTAGGAATGGAAATGAGTGCACTCAACAGTTGTGACCGAAGCACCTGATCTTGAGTGTCTGTGATGCCATCACGAAGACAAGTGCTTCTCAGTACGTGGAGTTTGAAGAACTAACGTTAGATATACAATCGTTAACATGATATGCCAAAAATTCGATTTTTCATAACTACATTTATACTATTTGTTACTAAGACTATCAAAAATCGTAACAATGATGTCAACTGCAGAAATAATATTCCGCAGTCATGGTTAAACGATGACGTAAGGAGGAGCAGCATACTAGTTATTAGGCTATTCGACAATTAGTGTTAAAATCACAAGTTTATTTTTCTTGTATACGCTTGAGCAATACGTTTTTCAACTTCGTATTCCATCGAATTGAAACTCGAAGTTGCCCTGCCCAAAGGACTCGAGGTAGTGACAAGATGTGGAGTTAATAAAGTGTAAGCGAAAGCTCAGTGCAACCTATGTTTGGAAAATTCACTGCGGCGAATTTGAGAAAGGTCACTAATGTCTTGCTATTGAAAGCCATGAGTTTAATGTTTTTCTGTAAGCAAACACACACACACACACACACACACACACACACACACACACACACACACACACACACACACACACACACACACACACACACACACACACACACACACATTCAGCTATATCAGGCATATGAAGAAAATTGGAAATCGATGAAGAACGACACGTCGGACGAACTGAGTGAAAGCCAGAGACATCCCCGTATTGAAGTAACGGCGATTCGGTGGCGTAAGCAGAAGAAGCCATTTCTCGACTGTATTGTGATTTACGACGAAAGATAGATTCTTTATCAAATCGTCGACGATCGGCACCGTCGCTGGAACATAGCGAAGCTTCGCAGCGATTCTCAAAGCCGAAATTGCTTCGAAAAGTGGGCATTTTTACTGTTTCGTGGCTGGCAAGTGGTTTGATCCATTACGACGACATGAGTCCGAGTGATACAGTTACAGCAAAAAATTTTTTATTTTTTATTTTTATATGCCCCTTCTTCACGTCTACTGTGCAGTTCCCGGTTGTTCTAACATTCTATTCGTTTCCTCGCATCCATTATTTACGAAGATCTTCCAACTTCTAAGTGTAGTTTTGGTTTCAGGATGTTCTTCTCATCTTGAACGTCGTAGAGTAGAAGCGTTCCCAACTAGATTGCAGAGAGTAGTTTTTTCCCAGACATGTCTGGTACCAATTTCCACGACCTCGAGGGGATGAGAGGCTTCGTTGGCCCGGAGCGAACTCGAACTACTGCCCATACTCATGACGACCGACATCATTACCATTGTTCCCTTCCCTTTTTCCTACAGCGGAGAAGCACGTGCAGGAACTCGACAAAGTTCTCCGGAATGTTGGCTGCACCTCGCACTGGTTGGCGGAAAGAGACCAATCATTCCCCACAATAACACGCGGCTACACTTCGCACAACCAACTCCACAAAAGTTGAATAACCTTAGCTACGAAACTCTGTCTCATTCTAAATACTTTGCAGTCTTTTAAACTACCGAGTAGCTGTTGTTCATACAATTCGATGACCTTTAATGTGGAGAATATTTCAGAAACCAAGATCAATGTAAAGTGCCTCAAACGACTTCGTCGCTTACAGATGCTCAGCACTTTAGTGATCTTGCACAAGAAAACTTGCTTTTCATTAGCAAGAATTTGTAAATTTTAACGGTTATTAATTTGGCAAGAGTTTTCTCTTAGTTAAGATATAATACGGTGAATGAGGGAAAAATTCGTAGCCCAACTCGCTCAACTTCTGTAGCGCTGGTTCCGCAACGTGAGATCGGGCGTTGTCGTGAAGAACGATTGGTCTTTTTCCATTGAATAATTCCACTACTTGTTGGAGTTTACGGTGCATTTTTTTGATTTGTTAACAGTACTTCTCTGCCGTAATCGTTTGTCACGGATTCAAAAAACCGTGTTGAATTAGACCTGCTGCAAACCACCAAACAATCACTGTAACCATTTTTTGAAGCCGTATCGGCTTTGGTATGCAGCACATATTTGTCGACCTTTTTGTCTTTTCCAAGGATTCAAGTAAGCTGAAATTGCTCCTTGCTTATGCCAAGCCATTCTGCAATTTCTCGAACAGTTGTTTACGCGTTTCCTCCCACTGCTTCGTCCATTTTGTCGCCGTTATGTTAATTGGGATGTTCGCTGCCATCCGTATCTTCGAGGTCGAAATCACCAGAACGCATTTTCGGAAACCATGTTAGCACTACTGATTCAACAACTCCCCCCAAACTTCATTAATGTTACGAGCGATCTCTGCTGCTCTGCTACCGAGTTTGAACTCATAAAATTCGACGAAAATTCGTTTTTGACAACTAAAATTGCAAATATGTATTATTTCTTGATAAGCTTGCACGAGGTTGATAAATAGATTTATTTTCGGCTAACGTTTCGACGTCTTCGTCTTCCTTCGAAGTAAAATTGCAAAGCTCAAAATTGGTAAAAAAATTTAATTTTTGACAGAATATAAAAATTTGAAGAAAATAACAAAATGGTACCATAAGCCAAGTAGTAAAAATATATTAGTTCACTACTTCTCCTCTCATCCTTCACGTATGAAAAAAGCACTCTTCAAAAACGTGTACTGAACGGCTAAAAATGTGTGCACAGGCGAAGAGGAAAGGAAGGAATCGCTAAACCGCTGGCACGAAAAGTAGCCATTCCCAATGGCTACGAAGTACATGCCACTCGGGTCGGACGAGAAGGTAGAATTGTTCCCAAAAATAAGGTTACATACGTAAATAAGACTCCTTTTACGCTATCCGTCATATCGAACGATATAACTTACACTATTAAGAGGTGCCCAAGGAAAAGTGATCTTGAAAATTATGTGGTGATTCGATGTTTTTCTTCAATATGCAGACACGAGGTTGTTATTATAGGATTTATTAGGATACAATAGCTATCGTCCATGTATTACTCTGTGCGGCTGCTATCCATCAACTAACTTAAATACTCACAACAAATTAACGGCTCTGAAGAAGGCGAAACCGCCGAAACGTCAGCTATTGCATCCTAATAAATCCTATAATAACAACCTCGTGTCTGCTTATTGAAGAAAAACATCGAATTATCAATCAATGCCGGGGTTAAAAGAAAGTCGGTCGTGGGAATTGCTACGTGAAGTGCCAGAAGAATATGTGGTGATTGTTGACCTTCCACCGAATACCTTACGCTGTCAGTAAGTTTGCAACCGCCTCTATGATCGTTTGCGCAGCTGGGAATATTCTATGATCCGCCCTGATGGGAGAGACGGGGATAGCATGAGTTCAGGTACAATACGCTCGATCTCACCTAAGTCATGCGGTGATGAGAAAGACGGATAAACCGCTTTGTATCCGCATAAAAAACACCTAGATGGGAAAGTCAAAATTCGTGAAAGCACTTTTCTGGATAGATATAGGGCACAAAACCAGGTGGCAATCATTTTGAAGTGAATTTCCGGACACTACCGCAGCAATCACAGATCTCCCTCATATGAAGGAACTCGAGCAGGTTAGTGGCGAGGCTACGTGGCACGTCCCATTGTGGCGGATAGGGGGATCAATCGAGGAACTAAAGCGACCCTTTGTTTTCCCGAGAAGCAGGTGGATCCAGAAGATGGATTCTCTGTTTTTGCTGCGCCGATTTGGCAGATACTTTCTGCGTTTAGGTAAGTATTCATACATGCGTGTTTAGGTGAATTTTCGCCTAAGCGGATTGTGTTCTACGAATCAATTCGGCCGAAAGCCTGTAATCAAATGACAGGAAAGTTTATGGCAGGCGGTTATGAGTCGCCTCCAACAAATGAGCTCCATGTTGACTCTGGGAAAGACTGGTAGGCAACCCGTGAGTATATACAGCTCTTAGGTTCGGAGCCCAGCAAGCTATAAGTGGGTAACAAAAAGCTAAAAACATTTAAAAAAACGGACCTTATTTCCCTGACCCTGAAAGGGCTTCCATTTCGGCAGAGTTGTGTAGAACGAGTAAGGAGAGGCTGCTAAAATGTCATCACCAGTGGAAGCTGCCTAGATCGCAAAAAACTAAGGTGACGATCTGTACCTACAATGCACGTACACTTGCGTCCGAGTCCTCGACAGAAGACTTGTTTATGGAAGCAAGAAGGATAAGAAACGACGTCATCGGCCTGGATGAGACGAGAA